CGCGGGCAGCGGGCCCGGCTCTTCGCTTCCCCGGCTGGCGCGCGCAGCCTCTCCACGGAGCTGCCGGCCAGGCTGTCCTGCCCGCTGCTCCGCTCCGGCCCGACTGACAGGCTCGAGCGCCGGCAGCTGCCACCGCGTCTCGCCCCTCGCCCGCCCCCTGCAGCCCAGCCCAATCAGCGGCCGCCGAGAGGCGGTTACCAGGGTGACGCGGCGCCGCATCCTGCGGGGGGCGGGGTCGGGGGCCGCCACGCGCGCTTTTCGCGGCAAAATTCAAAGGCCGGCAGGGCGGCTCTCCCACCTCTCCCCCAAGCTAGGGCGAGGCGGGACCTTCCTCGTGAGGACTGCAACTCCCGGCGTGCAGCGCGCCGGCACCGAGCCGAGGAGCCCCGATTGAGGGCGCTGCGCAGGCTGGTACTTGTAGTCCGTGTGTCGGAACCGAGGGTATAAACAATTCTCATTTAACGAACCCATGTTCGAGTCAGGGCGCTATGCTGAGTGCATTATCTGCATTGTTCCATTAAAAACGACCGAATGAGGGATTTGTTAAAAATTAAAGTACAGAACCTAATAGGTAACAGGGAGATGGGTTATTAATTACAGAAGAGAACACTGACAGGTGCTGTATATTATACTTCCACTTAGAGGAACCTGAGGTTAAGAGATGTCCTGTGTGTTGTCTCCAAGGCATGTTTTTGGCAGTGATGGATTTTTTTTGCGTCACAGTTGAGATGTGGGGAACACGGTATTACATACCCAGAACTGTGGTGAGTTCTTTTTAAAATCTTCCTGGAGTCCACACACATATATGAAAGCAAAGCACCGGTATTTTTCTTCACTTAATAGATGGGGAAACCCCAGTATACCTAGAGTCCAAAATCTGAATCCATCAAACTATACCACACCTGGCCTTTCACTTAAAAGAAGCTTTGTATCTCCTCATTTGGTCTACCTGGTAAGCCAGGGTTACAGCTGGGGAAACTGAGTTCTGAGGAGGACAGCTGCCTCAGTTCCCAAGTGGTTGCAAGAAAGATCTCAGCATGCCCACAGAAAAACGCGGACTAGCCGCTGGAACTATTCCCTCTGCCTTCAGACCGTCAGAAGCTGGGTGTGATGCCAGCCCTGTCTTTGCTAGCTGAGGCCCTGGACATTTCTCTTTGTCAGTCTGTGCCTCGGTTACTTGTCTGTGAAGTGGAGGGCATGGTAATTCCGACCTTACAGGGTTGTCATGAGGGTGAAATGAGTTGCTGCATAGCAAGGTCTCAGAACACAGGAAGTGCTCTACAAATGACAGCTGTGGGCATCCAGACATAAAGCGCCATGGAGACGCTGGCGAGTGGATCCAGTGGGATGAACTGAGGGTAGCCAAGCCCTAGCCTACTTCCAGGAGCCATCCCGCCCCTCCCCAGAGCCTGAGAGAGGTGCCTGCGGGGAGCTCCCGGGCTTGCCCAAGTAGGCCACCCGCTGCCTTATCTAGGACAGGAGCTGGCCCGATTTCAGGGCTGAGAGGTCACCACGCTGGCTGTTCCCTGCAGCTGACTGGTGCCCCTGCTCTATTTCTCCCTGATCACTCCACCTTGCCCCTCCTGGAGTTGGGGTGGGGGTGGAGATTTACCTGGAAACCTGATTCTGCCGCCAGCTGCTTCTCTTCCAGGGCCAGATGCCAGAGACATCAGGCCGGTTGCCCAGGAGACAAGCTAGGTGGACCAGGGCTGCGAACAGGTGGGGCAAAGGCAGGGCCCCACTCAAGCCAGGTGTAGGGCAGGGCTCAGGGAACCAAAGCCCTGGCAAGAAAGGCGGGAAGAGGAGGAGGAGGCAGTGGGCCAGACTACAGCCTTCCCAAGGTTTGAGATCTGTTCCATGGTAGATTGCTGTGACAGGACACCTACTGTGTGCTGGGTACATGCTATTTATAGCACATGGTCCTACCTCCTTTACCCTCAAAGCAACCTGTGAGGTCTATTTGATTATTATTCACATTGTATAGCCAAGAAAGGCCATGTGACTCACACAAGGTCACACAATGAGAGGTCTGGTCCCAAATACCAGAGCCCCTGACCTTGCTTTATTATATTCTGTGCCAGCCATTAATTGACCTTCAGAGCAAGGATGTGACCTTCAGAGCAAGTTTCTTCTCCTCCCTGGATCTGGATTTTCTACGCTATAAAACAAAGGGTGGGGTGCATACCCCAACTCTACCAACCAGGCTTTCTTCTCTGGAGCTGGCTCGCCCTTCCCATCTCAGTTGTTTGCAAAGGTCCCCTGTGATTCCAACATGCAGTGGGGGTTTAGAAGACCTCAGAGGGTCCTTCCATCTCTGAAGTTCCTGACATGCTCATGGTAGAGGCTGCAGCTGGCCTGATGTCAAATTAGGTGGGCAGGTGGTCTTCCAGGAGCCACACACACACCTCCTGGCAGGTGAACTGGTGCCCCGAGATGCTTCGCTGGAGTCCTGTGCATGCACACACACATACACCGCCCCCCCCACCTCCCTGAGGTCAGACCCTCGTGCCGGGCCCCCATCCGAACCCCAGCCTCTATCCAGTTTCGCCTTGGCTTGGTCATGTCTAATAACCTGCACATACGAACGGAAATGGTGTCAAGGTGGATTTGCTATAGTCCAAAGATCATCAGGCTACCAACTCCTAAACCTCTCTGTCTACAGCCAGGGGCCCAGGGGTTCTGATGGGCCCCAAGAGAGCAGGAACACCTCATTCCTCACTGACCTCTATGTCCCATGCATTTGAGCCTTGGAGAAATACCTACACAGCATCCTGGGTGTCACTCTGGTCCCTAGGCCTTTGCCCATACTGTCCTCTTAACCTAGAGTCCCTTCGCTTCTGGCCATTCACTTTTGCTGCTCCTCCAGATTTCATCTCATGTACCACCTCCTCCTCCTCCTTCCTGACTGGAGTACTCTGCCCTTCACAGATTTATCCTTCCATGTTCTAATGGTCCCCTTACTTGTCAGTCTCTCACCAGTCTGAAGACTCTGAGGGCAGGAGCTACACTGAGCTGCTTTATCCATAGCACAAGACTGCAAATAGTCGTTGCTCAATAAAGGTTTGTTGAATTAATCTCTGTATCAATGAATGAATATGGCCCAGACTTTTTCTTTTTCTTTTTCTTTTCTGGGGGAAGGAGAGGTGAGCAAGGAGAGAGGGAGACTGACTAGGCTTGAGTCCTAACTCTTCAGGTTACTAGTCACATGATTAGTTTGCCTCAGTCCCCCCCCCCCCATCTGTGGAATAGGGTTAATTGTCACATAGGCATTGCTTCTGGGGGTGGGGAGTGCGCAGGAGGGGATGGGCTGCAACCTGGAACATTTGCTCCCATCCTTCCATTTATGTAAAGCTGGTTACAGCCTCATTCAGTCCTGCCCACTCCCCCTTTATACTCTGCTCATTCATCCATTTAGTCACTCTCTCATTCATTCATTCACCATTTCCCAAGTCCCAGCTCTGTGCCAGTTCACTGGGGCTTCAGCCATGAGCCAGACCATTCCTTGGCCTCATGAATCTCTAGTCTCACAAGGGGACAGATAAAGCAGCCAGTAGTTATCATTGGGGGATCAGAGACAGGAAAGGCCCAGAGCAGGCACCTGCTGACTTGTGATGGTGGCAAGGATGAGCCTGTGAAAAATGAGCAGCAGCAGCAGGGGAGAGGTGAGGCAGCAGCAAGGGAGAGGTGAGGCAGGCTGCAGCGGGTACTACCAGTGCAAAGGCCTGCAGGGGTGGGGGTGCCTGCCCCGGCCGAGGGGGTCACGGAGACTAAGCTGGGGCTGTGGAGGGAGGGAGGAGGCAGACACTGAGCTTGCCCGGGTAGGGGAGAAGGCCTGCCGGGCCTCCCTCCGCAGCCCCCAATTGCCTCACCTGCCCTCATTGCCGTAATCTAGGCCAGAGCCTGGAGGGAGCCGCGCCCCCATTGGTGCACACCACGTAGGGTTTTCAGAGATAATTTAATCAGAGCTATTAATAAGCAGAAAAGAAAGAGCTCTTTATGCTCCTCCTGGAGAAAGGGGGAAAGAAGCAGCACGTGTAACCTTGTTATTCACCCAGCCCTGCCCCCAACTACCTGGAGCCTCTCTATGGGGTAGGCCTAGGG